GCATAGACAAATAATTCTGGCAATATTTTTTATTAAATCGAATGGGAAATAGGTAATAATAATTTTTTATTATACTCTTGCCCAAGGGTGAGACATGGGGTGTCCAACAATGAGACAATGGTTCTTTGGGTGGGACATAGGAAAAATAACAGTGTAAAATATTTTTTGTCATTTTATTAGGTACAGAAACAATTAACGAACTTCCAAATTGTCAAAATTAACATGAACAGTTAGGTATGCATGTTGTCGTCTAGTTTGACCAAAATAAATCGGTTTGGGTAAAATGGCACTTATATCACTATTTTGGACAGAACAAATGTCGGGTACCTGCGGATAAGTAAATTTATTTTGTTGCGCCAGTCTACGGAGGAAACTTATTTCTGTTTCCCCATCACCCCCCTTTATCACTTTACCTACATAGTAAATATTTGAAGATTTTGCCTTAAAACATGCTAATACGTAATCATCTGCTTTTGGCTGTTTTTCTAACTTATTTAGAACTAGATCTTCTCGTTCATCAGATTCGTATTCATCTGAAGTATTTTCCTTATCGAAAAATTCATCACTGGATTCTTCACTAGAATCCTTTAAAGTGTTAGAGTTGTATTTATTGTTTTTTATGTTCTGAGGTGTCTTTTTTGCCTTACAGCTTTGACTAATATTTCGTATAGTTGTTTTTTGCTTTTGCAACTTTTTCTGTCTTTCCAGAAAGTTTTCTTCGATTTCATTTTTCTCTGGGGTGTCAGTGGCTATCATACATTTTCCTTTTTTTCTTCGTTTCCTTATCTTTCCTTTGTCGACAATTTTCTTTAGATATCCTCTAAATATATCGGGAGAGATAAAATTAAGTTTTGTTTGATTTTCCTGATCCACTAATTGTTGTTTCGATGTAATTGGCGTAGATTGGATTTCAAGAGACAAATTTTCTGGTGGAGTTGATATCTGACTATTTTGACCAGAAGTTAGTTTTAGAACCTTGTCAGAAATTTTAATCATTTCAGCAGTTATCTGAATTTCATGAATTTCTACGGTTGGAATCGCATTAGCGGCAGCAGTTTCCTGAATTTGATTAATTTCAGTAGTTGTCTGGATTTCATTAATTTCAATAATTGTAGTCTGGGTTAAATGGTCATTTTCACTGTTGTTGTCTTCAGTTAAAGGTTTTTCGGTTACTTGGCTACTTAGGAAGTCATCTTCAGTAAAAATGTTTCGATCATATGGCATAATTCCAGTCTTTTTAAAGGCATGCGTTATTGTTGCCGGTGTCATTACTTTTTCATGTGCTTGTCCAACACATATATACATATATACTAAATGAATGTCCAGGATTGTGAAGCATCCAGCTATCCACTGCAGCGTTATAAAACTTCTGAAAAGGCCCGAAAATTCAAACATCTAATGGTTGCAATTTTTGCGGCGAATGGGGAGGAAAAGTTAAAAGCGTTACACCGTTTTCTTTTGCCAATTCAATACAATGTATTGATATGTGGCTCTCGTGATTGTCATAAATTAGTATAGAAGGATTTGCTTGTGAGGACCCACTACATTTAATAAAATGTTTTATTACATCAATATATAAATCGGTGTTCATCCAACCCGTCTTAGCTGCCAAACCTAATGTGCCTCGTGGTGCACCATTGATCATACGACTGTGAAAGTTGACTCTGGGAAATACCATTGCAGGTGGTAACCAATTTCCAGCTGCACTTACAATCATGCACGTTGTTACAAGGGTTCCTTTTTCTCCAGAAGTTATCTTGCTGACTTGTTTGGAGCCTCTTTCTGCTAGGATTTTTATATGGTGTTTTGTTGTGTGATGGTAGCAGTTTCATCTAGGTTAAAAATCCTTGTTCCGTTACTGAAGTGTTCACTTCTCATATAACATGTATGTAATTTATCAAAAAACAAATTTACATTGGTTTCATTGAATGCTGCAGCTCTTGCTAAACTGCACCCTTCAGGTGTCCTTAATGATAGCCGAGGATTTCTCTTCATAAAACCCCGCATCCATTTCTTCCCTGCAAGCCTTCGAATTTTCCAGGTATCTGGCATATCAATTTCATTCACACTTGCCATTTCGTAGGCTAGTTGTCTACATTCAATTAGAGGTAGGCCGTAGAACATTTTTGCGCAGGTGAGCATGTAGTTTGCCAATACATCCTCTTGCTGCTTTGTAAATATTCTTCTTCTTACATCATATTTTGGTACCATAGAAATGGGCTCGGGAGCTTCTTTTTGTTTTTTAACATGTAAAGTCTGATGTGGTATACCTTTTATATGACCAACTTCTCTTAGTGGCTGTTCTGCTATTACCATAGCTACTGCTTCCCTCATTACATGTGCGTCATGTTTATTTAATTTTCTTTTTGCTTTGTCCATATTCTTTGCTCTGAAACAAAAATTAAATCTTCAAATCCAGATTTTAATAAGCACGATATTTATTTATCCTGAATTTGACTTGCGTCCTACAGTGAGACATGTCTTACTGTAGGGCACTCAACTTTGTCCCACTGTTGGACAATGTAATATCCTAATAAAAACATAATGTATTTCTATAACCTTAAACATTTATAAGTAAAAATGTTTGTTATAAAGTTATTTTGACATAATAAAATTAACGATGTTACCCATGGTACTTACCAGCATATAAACAGAGTCGGAAGATTATATTATTATACTCGATTTTTTCACCAGTTATTCACTCACTGATATTGAACGTAACTATCGCCTTCAAGGTTACCATTCGACTGAAGAGATGGGTAAATGCATTGAGGTGGTTCGTTTGTTGTACAGCGTTGCCAACAATTACAGTTTTTCAGAGAGATATAGTAAATGTCTCACTGTGGGACCTGTCTCACTGTAGGGCACTCTCCCCTACGTAATTTTGACAAAATCTCTTTTAACTTCTAAAAGCATTCACTTTGTTCTTGTCCCCAATATGTTCCAATGCTTGCATACCTTATCTGCTTATCAACTTAAGTCTAAACAGGTGTCTTAAAGTTTCTGTCAATGTTGCTATGTTGGGAATCCATTTACCAATGAAGTTTACAAGTTCCAGAAAAATATGGACCTCGTCTATGTTGGATGGTGTTCTAAATGCCTGCATCATATTTATATAAAATTGTAGCGGTCTGATGCCCTTTTCTTATAGTGTGTGAGACCTAGGAATTTAATTTCTGTTACTTTAAAAATAGATTTAACTTAAGTAATACATTTTGCTTTTATTTTTTATGTGAATTGAACTCTTTTATTATGCTCTTCTTCTGTTTTGTCAAATATAAATATTTTTGGTGCCGCATTTATCCCAAATAAAAGTCTCGTATGTCTGTTCTCTACTGCTTATAAACGTTGTAATGTAGCGTGACTTTGGAGAAATTTCTATTTGGTAAAAAGCATTTTTTATATCCAACATAAAAAAATATTTAGCCTTACGCAAATATGGTAGAAGGTAAACCATTGTATCTGTATCTGTAACGTGTAGAGAGTGGGTTACCCCCACGGCACTTAGGTCTCGTTAGGCCCATTGTGCATCCTCCTAAGAGGACCATTGTAGGAAGTGAGTGGCAATATTAGCTCTTCTCATATCAATACAATGTGTTAAACGCGAACGTTGCAAAGATTCTATACTCCAAATTCATTGACCACTCTGTTTTTATTGAAATCCGAATGACATGATGTAAATAAAATAATAGATAATACTTTACCAGAGTAATTATTTGAATATCCCTTAATCATTCATTCTATTAATTTACATTGTTTTTGAATAAAATATATCATATACTCCCCAACATTCTTTATTCACTTATATTAACGAGTTATCATGAAGCAAACACTTCTTATAGTGACTATTTTATTGATAAAAACTACAAATTGTACAGCGAGTTTTTCTATGTTAATTACAGATATATTGCACAAATTTGATAAAAATGCCGTGATTACTGAGTTGTCATGCAACTATAAAGGTAAAATCTATAAAATGTTATAACTCTCCAATTTAATTAACAAATTTATTTACTCCACAAATCTACCACTAGAAAAAAGCTAATACATACCAAATTATTTATCCCTTACTCATTTTACTTCCCGTAACCATGATTCATAACTTTAGAATATAAAAATTGCTAATAATACAGTGATTTTATAGTACGGTCAATTTTTTCCAGTCCAGTCCAAATTTTGTAAATTTTTATTTTTGCTAGTTCCAAAATCGCCAAGTTTCGATTCATTCGGTAACTTCTCTTAACATTCTTAACACAAAGTTTAAAAAAATGTTAATTAAATTTTTCGATTTGTATATGTCTCTACATACGGGCCTCTATTGAGATCGTAGGAAAAAGGTGCATATAAGTTGATGAAAGGTGTAAAAAATCATAGATTTAAAAAAGCCCATTTGCATTATTTATTATTAATCTAAAACCAGTGAAATTTAGATAGAAATCTCATTATTAATCCAGGTTCTACATTTGTTTGGTAAAATTGTCTTATGGTCGTAGAAAAAATAATGTATATAACTTGTATGAAAGTGATCTTTTACAGTGAAATGGCCGGACTAGTGAAAAATTGTCACTATCCGCAGTACTAGGAAAATACATTTGTTTAAAAGTTATAGAGTCACATTGAATAACTAATTAAAATTTTTCCAATTCTAGAATCATTTTATTTTTTGAAGAAAGTAAGCAAACAACAACGGTTTATTCGAATATTAAACATTGACGAACACGTTTTTAAATATAATCATTCAAAAAATAATCAGATCTTCATTCTGCATCTCGATTGTAAAGGGTCTGTAAATATTTTGAAAAATGTAAGTAGATCGTTCCTAATCAATTTTATTAATAAATATTTATAGTTTTAAGAAATATAAACATCTTTTTTTATCTTTTAATGATCCTCTTTTTCAGGTTAGTAAACGAAATATGTTCTTGTTTTCACAAAAGTGGATACTTCTCCATACCGAAGAATTTTCCAAAATTAAAGAATATTTTAAAACCTTAAATGTCATGGTAAATAGCAATGTAAATTTACTACAAAACTATAAAAACGGCACAACCGTTCTAAGAAAAATCTATAGATTACATGATAATATTCAAGTAGAACCAATCGGATATTGGAATAAAGATGAAGGCTTTAATAATTTCGAGATAGAAGAAATTACAACCAGAAGAAGAATTAATTTAAAAGGAATTAGCCTCAATACTTTCATTGTTATTACAAATAATGATAGTTTAAATCATTTAACTGATAAAAGGTAAAAACATTAGGTATACATTAAGTTCTGTACTAAATTTAATAAGAATGCTAGAAACAATTTGTCTACTAATCACACATTAAATGATTCAAATTGTCCGATCCTACAAAATTAAATTTCTAATCTAAAATCAAGGATTAATTGTGGATAATAGAGTTTTTAAAAGGTATTTACTTAAATTTGCTAATTATAATATTTTTTTATTTTAACATCACTTTTAGATTTTTCAAGATTTGTAATTCAAGAATCATTTGATGTACCTAATGGCCATCACTATAATCTATTTTTATGTATGAGAGAGTATTAAAATAATAAAGCGTTCGTAATCCATAGGCGTAACACTTCTTTTAATATTTTTTGAAGTTATTCCTTGAGTATACACTTATATTTTCACCTAATTAACCTGCTTATAACTTCTAAACAGCTGAAGGTAAAAAAGTGCAATTTTTTCTAAAATGTGTTATTTTTCCACAAGGTATGTTAAGAACATTGTGTCAAACGGGTTATGTAGGTATAAGGGTTTAAACTTTGACTTTTAAACAACATTACGTTCATAAATAATAATTTTAATATAAAAACTACTTCTTACCTACAAATCCAAATCAGAATCGAAATCAGAAGATGAACTGTCGCAACCAATATTTACAATGAGTGGCTCGATCATTTCATCAGTAATATTGTCCAACTTCCACATTTTCTCTTCTTCTATAATCGTATGATTTACTGCCTTTTCCCAGTTTTCAGGCTTCACATTATTTACAGCCTCCAAAAACAACTGTTTAACATCACTCATTTTAAAAGAATTATTTTTTCTTGAAACTTCTCCCTTTATCTGTGCCCATATCAGTTCAATCGGGTTTACTTCGCAATGATATGGTGGTGATCTAACCACCGTCATCAATTTCATATTTTTTTAATTTCTCTTTATGAAGGGAACACAAATGATACAGTTTTTTTCTCACAGAACTTGGATGGAACTTAATACTCTTTGAATTTAGCCAATTCTGTAAATCTTTTTTTAACCACTTGGTTGTGGGCATTTTTTCTATAAGTCTCGAGTGATAACTTGCATTATCCATTACTATTATACAGTTCTGAGGAAGAAGATCTATAATTTGTTCGAACCACTCTTTAAAGACATCAGCATTCATGTTCTCATGGTAGTCACCAGTACGAGTAGATTCAAAAGTCAATAAACCACCTTTAACAAAACCGTTTGAACTACCGATGTGTACTATTATTAGTCTGCGCCCCAGTCCTGATGGTGGATTTAAACCAGTAGATAAATTATTTAAAAAGCCTGTCTTCGACTTGTAACAGTTTCATCTTGCCAAAATTTATTTGGTTTATGTCTCTCGTTGATCCATGTTTCATCTAAATAAAATATATTTCTTCTTTGGTTTCTCATTTCTTTTATAGTCCTTAGGTAATTTCTTCTCCATACTACAATATCGCTTCTTTCTATTAAAATAGACTTTCTGGAATGCTTTTTTCATAGAAAACCTATTTCTTTAAAAAGTTTCCATAGTGTGCTTCGACTCGTTTCAGGGTAATCTTTATCATCTCGAACCGTGGCAAGAACTTTGTCTACTGTCGGAAATTCTTTTCTAAAGAAGAACGCATGCACTTTTTTTCAAAAGAGTTTCTAATTGAAATTTTGGTTTTCATGGAGCTTTACGTGCTGTTTGATACTTGCCACATTTCTCTTCTTTAACAATTCTGTAAATCGTAGATTTCCCAACACCAATCGTACTACTAACTAATTCCACTGTGTCATCAACACTTTTACATAAATGTTTGTCTGTAAATGATTTAAAACAATTAAATATTAATGTTTTTTCACTAACTGTTAAAGGACCGATTTTTTGTCGTTTATGCGGCCCTTCCTAATTTTCCATGATCACACTAGAATTCACACTGCACCTTGCAAGTTGCAACTAAACGACATTTAGTAAACTGTCAAGAATACACAACTTGGTCCTCCTTACTAAATGGAAAACCTATAATCGCATTTTCGGTGAAATATGTTGGGAAGGTATTTATCTACTTATAATTCGATTACTGTAAGAAATTCTTGGAATTAAAACAAAATTGGCAGAAAGGTACTTATTGAAAATAATCTTAAGGTACGGCTATGTAATCTTTAATACACAGGGCTTTTGGCCTGTCCAAATTTTTTTCTATTGTTCTGTACAGCGTATGTTTATAAAGGACTAATAAAAGGCCCAAAACTTGTAATAGGTCAGCTAGTTTTGCATCAGAAATGCTGTTTTATTACTCTCTCATATATAAAAATAGACTATAAAACATGGATATCGCCTGAAATAACATGTGATATTTTACATATATCATCTTATAAATTTTTACTTGCTGATCGTAATAGACATGGCGGTGGTATTGGCGTATTTTTTAAAGACCACTTTCAAACTGAGATCTTAAATTTAAATGTTAATTTAGATAATAAAATTTTTCAAATGCTTTGGGTTAAAATTAGTCTAGGAAATAAGGTGTCGTTTATCGTATTCCTAATACCAGTGTTGAAAAAGCACTCGACTATCTTGATAATGTTCTATCATTAATGGTGCCTGTTTACAACATTATTAACTCTTAATTATTGGAAAGAAGCTTTAGTGTCGCCACTTCCTAAAGTATCCAATCCTGAGTTGGGCATACTTTTAAAAATATTAGAAAAAGTTGTCTATCTTTTGTTAAATAATTATGTTAACAGTTTCAAATTGATAGTTGGGACCAATCAGGATTCAGAAGTGGTCATAGTACAGTAATAGCCCTAACAAGAGTTTGTGATGACATTATCACTTTCTTTGATAACAATATGTCAACTGTATTAGTTCTTTTAGATTTCAGTAAAACTTTTGATACTATTATTCACAAACTTCTTTTATCTAAAGGCAAATATCTTGTTTTATTACCTGTTCCTGTTGTTTATTACCAATTTTTTTTTTAATTTTCTTTTTCAAGCTACTAATTTAAGAGAACAATTGCTTCACATTGTTAATCTTTTGATTTCGGGTGTATTTTGCAAATTTGGAACTGAATTATGTTTTTACCTTCTTCGTTATAAATTAAACATTTGGTTGTATCTTGATTGATAACTTTTTCTAATATTCTTCTCAATTATTTTTTGGTTTTCTAGGGTTGAAAAATTATCTTTTTTAGTAATGGTCTCGATTAGTGGCTAGAATTACTGAGAAATGACCTGTATTCAGATTAAAGTTTGAAGATTTTTTTTTTATAATAAATTCTACAAATCAACGATTTTTATTGGATCACTGGGTCAATATGCAGCCTTTCCAGTCTAGCAGCAATCAAGTTTTAGTTACTCCTTAGTTTCAAAAAGTCAGCATGTTAAGATAGTCCTCGCTTTTTTGAATGCGCCTTGATGAACAATAAATTGCCACTACTTTGGTTTTCTACTATTACACCACTCCTCTTAGTCAATTTGAAGGATAGTATCTCGTATTCCCCTCGAATATGACAATATTTTATTTTTAATGATAGAATACAATGAAAAAGAGATTATTATTGTTTTGATTTGTTAAATTTAAATTTATTTTCTTTTAAAAAAATCTGATGTGTCCAACACATGACTTTCCTATCTAGTTATTATAGGCCTTTTCCGGTTATTTTGTACAACCTATTGCAGCATCTCTATAAATGTTTAGAGGATAAACTAAATATATACATTGTCCACATACATCTACCTCGAAACATTTTTCTATAGATATTCATGGAAAACGAAAATACTGAAAAATTTAAATTTCTTACAATTTTTTCATTACGGTCCATTTTAGAAAAATCATGTATAAACAAAAATTATAGAGATCGATATCGCAAACAACTTTTATTTCAAAAACTTTCATAAAAATCAGAATTTTGCACATTTTGTCAAATTTCTCGAATACGGACCATTTCAGGAAATTTTGACATAAAACAGAAATTATAGATAAAAATATAAGAAGTAACTTTTATTTGAACAATTTTCTTCTCCAAACATAAATAACAGATATATTCCATAAAATATAAAAACGGCCTCCCATAAAGTACCCCCCCAGATGTTCCGACTTTGTCCAAAATCTAATCATTTCACGTCAGGCCGAAATAAACCTTAAGTTTAAAATTTAATGTTTTTTCCTTTATCCGTTTTTGAGTTTTCTTCAAATTTCGAAATTTACACATTTTCTCAAATATCTCGAATACGGTCCATTTTAGAGAAATTATGTATAGAACAAAAATTATAGAGAATTATATTACAAACAACTTTTATTTGAACAATTTTTATAAAAAATTATTTTTTTTTACATTTTGTCAAATTTCTCGAATACGGACCATTTTAGGAAAATTTTGCATAAACAAAAATTATAGATAATTATATTAGAAGTAACTTTTATTTGAAGAATTTTCTTCTCCAAACGTAAATAACAGATATATTCCATAAAATATAAAAATGACCACCTATAAAGTACCCCCCCAGATGTTCCGACTCTGCCCAAAATCTAATCAGCTCATTGGACGCTAAAACAAAGCTTAAGTTTAAAATTTGGTGTTTTTCTGTGTATCGGTTCATGAGTTATGCGTTATACAGACACACACACACACACACACACACACACACACACACACACACACACACACACACACACACACAGACACACACACACACACACACACACACACACACACACACACACACACAGACATCATCGCGAAAATAGTCAAAACGGATTCAGGGGACCTCAAAACGTAAAAATCCGTCGAAAACTCGAGGTCGAAAAAAATCATGATTCCTATACTTTCCTTATATCTGTATACAGATAGGAAAGTAAAAATTGTTAGTTGCATTCTGTTTTGAAGATGAAGTACCTACCTACCTATTTGGTTAAATCTTAGATAGTAGATATTCAGTAAATTAGTCTATAAAAACCAATAGTGAGCCACTAGCATACAGTGCTTTTCAGATAAAAGTATCCACCTTAAGTAACTTTTGAAGGACTGATTATTACAAAAAACAAAAAAATACGTCAATTAATATTCGAAGGGGGAGATATCGTGCCATATTTAAGTTTGCTAAAAAAGTCACCCTTTCACCCCTACTATCATCCCTTCAATTTTTTTAAATGGCTTCCCCCATTTTTTATCCATTTTTGGATTGTTCTCGTTTAACTGATTTCAAAAATGTATAAAACATGGGGATTAAAGTAATTAGTTTACGATCTACAGAATTTTAAATTAAAATAAAATTGAATTGTGCAAAACTTTTATTTTAATGATTTTGTCACAAGCGTTTCCAATGACAAAACGAATATTTCATTTTCAAAATTTATTATAAAAATTGTTCAAAATGTCCACCATTTACTTCCATACAATGGTATAACCTAGATTGAAAAGCCTCCCTGACATTACCGAACACGTGTGCATTTAAATGTAGGCATTCATACTCTATTCTTTGTCGTAAATCTTCTAAAGATTCTGGTTGGGTAGCATACATTTTTGTTTTTAAATAACCCCATAAAAAGAAGTCTAGAGGTGATAAATCCGGTGATCTAGGTGGCCACTCCATCATCGAGCCTCTTCTACCTATCCAACGATTGGGGAAAGTTTCATTTAAAAATTGTCGTACTGGCAAAGCAAAATGTGGAGGCGCTCCATCCTGTTGAAAGACAAGCAAATCTTCAGAAAGATTATGATAATTTTCTATTATTGTTGTAATACGTGGATCAATTACTTCTCTCAATAACTCAAGATATGACTCTCCATTTAAGTTTCCGTCTAAAAAGAAAGGTCCGACTATGTGGTCACCTAGGATACCACACCATACATTTAACTTTTGAGGATTCTGTGTGTGGTATTCACGCACAACATGTGGATCACTCTCAGCCCAATATCTGCAATTATGTCTATTAACTAAACCATTAACTGAAAATGTGCATTCATCCGAAAAACAAAGGTTGTGCAACAAATGTGGATCGTCAGTCAAGCGCTGACTCAATAGTTCACAAAATTCAAGACGACGATCAAAATCATCTTCATACAACTCTTGAACCAATTTAATTTTGTATGGATGGTACTTATGCTTGTGTAATATTCGATAAACTGTGGAAGATGAAACACCTACTTCTCTGCTTATTGTTGTTAGTGACTGTGATTGTTGATTTTCAAGACTTACTTGTCCTAAAACTGCGACTTCAATTGCTTCGTTATTTACGAGTTCCAGTCGGTTGTTTTTTATTGCCAACTGACCCGGTTGATGTAAATTTATGCATAAGATCAATTACATACTTATGAGTTGCATGACCTCCTTGGTGTGTTTCGTTGAAAATTCTAGCAGCAGCTCGTGCAGAACTGTTATTTTTGTAGTATAAACCTACAAGTTCAATTATTTCTTGTAAACTGTAAACCATTTTCAAATCAAATAAATAACCTCAACAAATCAATGTGCACATGTATCAAAATACACTATAAAAGTAATTTAAATTCATTTTTTAAATATCCAATACCTTAACCATGTATCATAAAAAACTTCAACAAGTTTTTAGCGGTAAGATTAAGGTATAATGTATTCTAAATCCAATTTTGATGCAGTCAGTAAGGTGAGATGTAAAAATTTGTCACTCAAATAATGGAACCCTGTAGATCATAAACTAATTATTTTAAACCCCATGTTTTATACATTTTTGAAATCAGTTAAACGAGAACAATCCAAAAATGGATAAAAAAAATGGGGGAAGCCATTTAAAAAAATTGAAGGGATGATAGTAGGGGTGAAAGGGTGACTTTTTCAGCAAACTTAAATATGGCACGATATCTCCCCCTTCGAATATTAATTGACGTATTTTTTTGTTTTTTGTAACAATCAGTCCTTCAAAAGTTACTTAAGGTGGATACTTTTATCTGAAAAGCACTCTTTATTTGTTACAGAGATAAACACATTGACAGTGTAACAAAAGTAAATTATGTCTTAGTCAGACATTTAGCAGACATTTTGAATGTTAAATTAAACTACACAGTTGAATCTACATGGGGATATATCGTGAAAGGAGTATGGACTGGGATGGTTGGAGCTTTGGTAAGAAAAGAAGCAGATATTGGAGGTTGGTATTATAAATATAAATTTATAAATTAAAAACAAAATGATCTGTTTTAATATTGGTACAAGTCATGCAAAATGGAAAAAAAGTTGAATTCGGTGAATTATCTCAGGTTTTAATAAAGATATTTAAATTTGTAAAATCTTTGGCTATAATTATTTTTACTAAACATGTGGCAAATTGGACAGAGAGGAATTACAAACGAAAACAATACGTCATAAATGTGTGGCGAAATTTTAGTTCCACTGACAGTTAATTCTAACCCAACTTAACAATATATACGTTTTTACTGTTTTTATTTATTTTTTATTAAAAAAAGTAGTTTAATGGTATATAATTGGTTACTAAATGATGCATGTTTTCTAAAAATATATTTATAAAAGTTTAAATAAATATAATTTAGATAAACAAAATAAACGAAACGCACTTAAAAAAATATTCTAATTGTCAGTGGAACCAAAATTACGTCAATACTAATTTAACGTATTATATTTTTTAGGCACTGCTTTATTTTTCACTGAAGAGAGAGAACCTTTTATTGATTATATTGCAATGACGACACCTTCAAGACATTTTTTTGTGTTTCGAGAACCCAAGTTATCTTACGTAACTAATGTTTTGACTTTACCATTTGACACTAGTGTCTGGTTTTCTATCATTGCGCTAGTTATTTTAACAGGATATTTATTATACTACATATTGAATTGGGAACTTAACAATGAGAAACGACTACTTAAAAAGGTAAGTTTTTCTTTCTAGTTAAGAAAGTTATAATATTTTTTTATAAAACAATTAAGCAGAACTTGAAACTAAAGTGAAAAAATAATTTGAGGCGTTTTCTAAAATTTACTTGGATCAGAAAAATAAAAATTATGAATTCTATTGTTCCTTTACTTAGGATTTCTAACCCTAACCGTGATAAATGTCTAGTTTGAGCTCTTTTCAATTACGCAAAAACGTATTAATATTGTAAACGAAAAATCTAAGTTCCATAAGGACATAAATAAAAATATACCATTTTTTGCATTAATTTTATAAATTTTACGGGAAAGGGAGTGAATTATAGCGCTGGGTGGGTAAAACAACGTTATAGTTATAATATTATTAAATATTTATAAGACAAGGAAAATTATTAGAAATAAATTGCTGTTTTTTGATAATAAATAATTGAATGGTACACTTTTTGTGCGACTTGGCAACAGTGTAAAATCTAAAAGTAGCATCTCTTAGCTTTGATTTGAGACAAATACATTAAAATAGGTAAGACACTAAAAAAGAACTCCAAAAACTAATAAACAAAATATTAAAACTTTCTTAGAAATAGAAAAACGTAAACATTTTTTAAATACCTCCTAAAATTTATCAATTTTGATGAACGTTCTTCAAACCTGCTGCTAATTTTCTAATTCCTATTTGTCTAAAGTAGTTCTAAAAACACAGTGATATGCCTTTAGGTACTTAGGTACAACGTTGCCATTTTACATTCATAATCTACAAATTTTCATATCCAATAATTTTTAGGTTATATTTAAAGAGAAGGCAGATAAGTATACAATCATTGATATTGCACTAATATCTTTCGGAGCACTTTGCCAACAAGGTTCATATATAATTCCATCTAGTTCACCAGGAAGGATTACAATAATTATATTATTCCTTTCGTTGATGTTCCTTTACACATCCTATTCGGCAAATATCGTTGCCTTACTTCAATCGTCATCAACCAGTATACAAACATTACAGGATTTGCTAAATTCAAGGATCGAAGTTGGCGTCCATGATACTGTTTTTAATAGATTCTACTTTCCAGTAAGTATTTTCAGTAACCCTTTGACTGTAATGATAATAAATTACAGATTATGATTATATCAAAGTTAAATTTGAATAGAATGCAACAGAGCCTGTGCGACAAGCAATCTACCAGCAAAAGGTAGCTCCTCCTGGTAAAAATCCCAATTTCATGCCGTTGCTTGATGGGGTGAAAAAAATAAGAGAAGGACTATTTGCATTTCATTTTGAAGGTGGCACAGGATATAAACTAATGGGTAAGTATGTTTTATTTTTTATTTTTGCAATATTACACCTATCTGAGAACGAAAACCAGGAATTTTTAACTATAACACTAGGTCTGAGTGTTTTTTGCTCTTCGAGTAGCTGTATCATCTCGGTGATAACACGGTTCACTTCGTTCTTTAAAGTAATTTTCTTGATTTCTACTTTTAATACTTTGCATTGATTTATACCTTCACTTATCACAAAAACTCTGTGCGCTACATAGCATTCCATGAAAAAGGTATATAACCTCAACCTAAGCTGTCCTGTGAGCTGTGACCGTCCCGTACAAAAAACAATTTAAAAATAACTAGTGAACGCAAATAAGAAATCGGATTAACGTTAGCCGTAACTGAATGTTTTTTAGCCATAAGTAAAAGTTAATGATAAATATACAGGGTGTTCGATAAGTACGGTACATAACTTCTAAAGCTAAAATAAAGGTATTTTTGTCATACACACTATGTCTCAAAAATGCTTCGTTACGGAAATACAGGGTGTGAAAATTTCATAAAAAAAAATACAATTTTTTAAATATGTTCTGCTTTGAATGTTCGATTTGGAAGAAAAAGCAACAAAGACAGTAAATTTTTTCATTCTTTTTTATTATTTTTAATCTCTTTGAACAATGTACAACAAAAAAGTTATCTTCAATTTTTCCAACGTATTTGTTTGACATTTTACTAATCGCCAATTGTTTATTTATTTGTATGTCAGACATTAAATGCACTTCATTTATGACTTATCAAATGGGAATTCACCAAAAGCTAGAAGAATTCACCAAAAGCTAGAAGAATTTATCAGCAACGTTATCCGAATAGGGTAACGCCATGTGCTAAAACATTTTGAAAGATACAAGGTAAGCGCCAATAATTCCCGGCCTGACATAGTTGCAGATATTTTATCAGGATAAAAGTTTAACATTTTATAACTACAAACCTTAGTATGCTGTGGTAACAAAATAAGCGATTTACGTCAAATAGTTTTTAATTGTCAGCATTTTGAACTAAAGTATCTCCGAAAATGTCTCAGGTGACGAAAATTGAGTACAGAGCGGTTATTAAATTTTTAACAAAAGAAGGGCTTACACCTAAAATTATTAAAGAAAGACTTGATGGCGTATATGGCCAAAGTTCCCCTTCCTATTCGGTAGTGAAGGAATGGGCAAAACGTTTTCGCATGGGTCAGGAATCCCTTGAAGATGACGAAAGACCTGGACGGCCAGTGGAGGTGATAACGGAGGACAAAGTGGCCCTTGTGGAAAACCTGGTGCTAAGTGACCGACGTTTAAAGGTCAAGGAAATGGCAGAAATAACCAAGCTTTCTGATACCACGTTCGTTGAATCCTCCACGATCATTTGGGTACGCATAAGGTTAGTGCAAGATGGGTGCCCAAACACCTTTCGGCGAATCAGAAGCAACGTCGTGTCGGGTGTGCTCGATCGTTTTTAGAACTGTGTGGAGATGATCCGAACCCCGTGTTGGAAACAGTAGTCACTGGAGATGAAACTATGGTTCTTTATTACGATCCTCTGTCGAAAAGGGAATCAATGGAGTAACGCCGTAAGGGTGAAGCCCTCCCACGAAAATTTAGAGTCTGTCAATCAACGAAAAAGGTGATGGCTACGATCTTTTTGGATGGTGAAGGAATCCTTCTGATTGATTTTAAAGAGACAAATACCACCGTTAATGGCACATATTATGCCGCATTACTTCATAAGTTGCGGGAATGTATTCGGGAAAAACGTCGAGGAAAATTAACCAGAGGCGTGCGGTTGTTGCACGACAATGCGCCCGTTCATACTGCTGGCGTTACACAAGCTGCCATATTAGATTGTGGATTTCAAAATATAGATCACCCTCCTTATAGTCCAGATATGGCTACCAGCGATTATTATTTTTTGAGATTCTATTAAAAGCAAAAAGCAATTGTATTTCCTGTGGTAGCTAGAGCTTCGTGCCACATGTAGTAGGTTTATTCTCCCAGTGTCGTTATCATGAATGGTCAAATTATAAGACCTTATTGGTCTCTTATTCACAAGACTTTGCTGGAGATCAGAACTAAAGCATTTTTACTTTCCTATCTGTATACAGATATAAGGAAAGTATAGGAATCATGATTTTTTTCGACCTCGAGTTTTCGACGGATTTTTACGTTTTGAGGTCCCCTGAATCCGTTTTGACTATTTTCGCGATGATGTCTGTGTGTGTGTGTGTGTGTGTGTGTGTGTGTGTGTGTGTGTGTGTGTGTGTGTGTGTGTGTGTGTGTGTGTGTGTGTGTGTGTGTGTGTGTGTGTGTGTGTGTGTGTGTGTGTGTGTGTGTGTGTGTGTGTGTGTGTGTGTGTGTGTGTGTGTGTGTGTGTGTGTGTGTGTGTGTGTGTGTGTGTGTGTGTGTGTGTGTGTGTGTGTGTGTGTGTGTGTGTGTGTGTGTGTGTGTGTGTGTGTGTGTGTGTGTGTGTGTGTGTGTGTGTGTGTGTGTGTGTGTGTGTGTGTGTGTGTGTGTGTGTGTGTGTGTGTGTGTGTGTGTGTGTGTGTGTGTGTGTGTGTGTGTGTGTGTGTGTGTGTGTGTGTGTGTGTGTGTGTGTGTGTGTGTGTGTGTGTGTGTGTGTGTGTGTGTGTGTGTGTGTGTGTGTGTGTGTGTGTGTGTGTGTGTGTGTGTGTGTGTGTGTGTGTGTGTGTGTGTGTGTGTGTGTGTGTGTGTGTGTGTGTGTGTGTGTGTGTGTGTGTGTGTGTGTGTGTGTGTGTGTGTGTGTGTGTGTGTGTGTGTGTGTGTGTGTGTGTGTGTGTGTGTGTGTGTGTGTGTGTGTGTGTGTGTGTGTGTGTGTGTGTGTGTGTGTGTGTGTGTGTGTGTGTGTGTGTGTGTGTGTGTGTGTGTGTGTGTGTGTGTGTGTGTGTGTGTGTGTGTGTGTGTGTGTGTGTGTGTGTGTGTGTGTGTGTGTGTGTGTGTGTGTGTGTGTGTGTGTGTGTGTGTGTGTGTGTGTGTGTGTGTGTGTGTGTGTGTGTGTGTGTGTGTGTGTGTGTGTGTGTGTGTGTGTGTGTGTGTGTGTGTGTGTGTGTGTGTGTGTGTGTGTGTGTGTGTGTGTGTGTGTGTGTGTGTGTGTGTGTGTGTGTGTGTGTGTGTGTGTGTGTGTGTGTGTGTGTGTGTGTGTGTGTGTGTGTGTGTGTGTGTGTGTGTGTGTGTGTGTGTGTGTGTGTGTGTGTGTGTGTGTGTGTGTGTGTGTGTGTGTGTGTGTGTGTGTGTGTGTGTGTGTGTGTGTGTGTGTATATATATTTTGTGGATATCCAAATATGGATATCCAACCAAATGTCCGTCTATATCCCAGGATATAGAATTCAGATATTCGGCAAAATATTTTATAGGTATCTTTAGTAGACATTCATAAGTAACCAAATGAATGATAACGTCGAAAGAAAATAGAGATAAAAAATATTTCCAACAATTTGCCTTTGAGTTTGCTCACTAAGGAAAAAGTTATCCTGATTTGGACTCTTCAGCAATAAATGGAAATTCTCGACTCCAGTTTCTAATAGAGTGTTAATGCGAAAAAATGTTCGATCAACTCAATTATGGCGGGTTGAGCATGAGTAGATACGAAAGTGGTATCGCCTTCTATACTTAGGAAGCAAAATCAAAAATTACATCTAGTAGATATCCACGATGGTTTGCGTCCGCGCTAAGACTTTGATATATGTGGATGTCCATGGGATATTGAATACACCTTAAAAAAATTAATTTTAAATATCTGAACGGTACTATTAGCCACAATGGCGAGCACAATGGCGTAATTTTTTAATAATTTGCTATATAATTACTATTATTTATGGACATTTGCATGTCTGTAAATTACAGCTCATGGATATAAAATAGATATCCACCATGGACTGGATATTCAGTGGATATTGGGATGTTCAGTAGATATCCAAAGGATTTGGTGTGCTGTCTGGGTAGATAGGAAAGTCATGTGTTGGACACATCAGATTTTTTTATAAGGATTCATAAGACGTTGGTACCGGATACTATAAAAACATTTCTGACTTACCACATTTGTACCAATTCAGATCGCCTTAACCTTAAGCCTTTAATACCAATTGAGAAAGCGTACAATTCTGACTAGAAACCTTGTTTAATCTAAATTTTGGAAATGTTGTACCCTATAGTGCGCCAGTATGTGCTTCCTTCTTTATGTTATCTTCCATCATGTTTTATTATTCTTTTTTAGTCAGGTCTACCAACTATTTTTCCTGAAAACTTTTGCCACCATCTTCCTTTTGGTAACAATTTAAGTAGGTACATATAGATATCTTTTCAAATAGCCAAGTATCCCTTAAAACTCTATGCACCAAGCAAGTTGATTCATAACTGGTGTCCGGAACAAAGTTACTTCGATCTGGTATTCTGACACATAGTGAGGCGGAGGGCAATGAAAAAGGAACTCCATCTGAAGTCATAGGAACAAACCCTTTCTTGGCCTTGCAAAGAGCACTTCCAAAGGAATTATTGGACAAGACGTAATAATGCTGTACTGGAAGATACCACAGGATCAACTTATTTAAAGGCCTTTATAGCCAACTCTTCCAAAAACCCCTCTGCTTCAGCTCCGTGAATAGAGTAGGAACTAACTACTTTTTGCGGGACGGATAACAGGAAATTGTCATCTAGGTAACCACATGAGAAGGATAGGTTTGCAACAAACATCGGTTTATTGATTCTGTAGTGTGGAAAACGAATTTTCCGAGCACATTATAAATATGTACCTGCTCCACCTTACCGAGAACTAGGGTCCAGATATTTGGCTTCACCCGCCTAGATCCTACCGACTTTAAACAAGTCTTATACCTTAGTCAAAAATAGTCCCTAATCAAAAGGTGTAAACCATAAGTCAAACATTAAGCCAAAATAGATCTATCTTGGTCTTGGTCATATTTACAATTATAATAATAATTTATTTTCTTTGTAGTCCATTGTTATTAATTTTATGTTTCAAATTTTGATATACTTCAGAAAAACTTACAATTTTGTACATCATCAGTCTTAATTTATAATTCAAAAAGAATATGTTTTTAATTTTAACTTAATATATTTTGTAATTTTTTTTATAATTTAATACTAGTTTGTTTTTTACTTAATAATCTCTTGTTATTTTTTGTTCGACATTTAGATGTAATAAGTAATATCCTATAGGCAATAACGAATGTATTTCATTTTATTTCATTAAAGTTTTTTAAACATTTTAGGGGAATTTTTTCTTGAACATGAAAAATGTGGATTACAAGAAATTCAGTTTATTGAAGCAACTTATCCCTGGATAGCCACTCAAAAACATTCTCCTTATAAAGAGTTATTTAAAATTGGGTATGCATTAAAAAAGTGTAATAAAAAATATAATTAAAATGTTCTCTTGTTCTAGTTTACAAAAAATTCGAGAATCAGGCATCCAACACAGAGAAATTAGAGCAATTTATTCCAAAAAACCAGAATGTATATCAAGGGGATCCAGTTTTATAAGCGTTGGTATTGTAGATTGTTACCCAGCTGTTGTGGTGTTGGCAGTTGGTATTATGGCTTCAGTTTTAATATGGTTTATTGAAATAATTGTATGTAAATTGTATGTAGGTAAATGAAATTTTAATTATAATAATAATAATAATAATAATGTCCTCCCTTACGAAGTCAGGTAATAGCTGCATTAAAAAATGTTAATCTATAGGGTAACAACTAGACCAAGAGCCACGTTTACATCTAGTTTAATAACGAAAGGATTTGAATTAAATTTTGAAACCTACTATACATAATTTTGAAATGACATACAAAATTGCCGACTTCCAGTTTACATAATAAACCACCCCATATATTTTTTGATTTTAGGAATTTACGGTTAATATTGCACATGACAGTGATGCAAAATCTTCTTTTTAACGTTTTTCTTTGGTAGTAAAATCTCACTTTTTTAAAAGGAACCTATTGAAGGCCATTTTACCTTTTTATGGTAAATTGTATTACCAATCTGACAAAATACACCATTTAGAACATTATTTTTTAAATAATGGCCTTCTATATTAACCCAAAAATTTTAAGAAAAAAAAATGTTTGGGAAAGATACAAATTTGGCAACATTGTCCTAAAATTTGAAGCGTAGATTAAAAAAAATATACAGGGTAATCCATTTAAAACGTAAAAATTTAATGGCACTTCCCTTAGGCAATAGGCCATTTTGTTTAAGTATCAGTTATAAATTATATTTTAATATGTTTGTTCTAAATCCCCTAATAAATAAAAGAAATATTAATGTGGCCCTAGTCACAACTAAAAAATTCACTGAATATTACGAATTCGCATAAACACAAAATAACATGTGTCCAATAATTGTATTTTGGTAATTGCTTTTGATATTACACATTCATTTGGACACTGAGACATTTCTTTTAAACGAATTTTTTAATTCCAGGTCTACGCTCGTTAAAAAAATAAAAAAATTTAAGAAAATGTATTAGAACTACAAAAATACTGAGAATTTTAAGCTTAATGAAACTGCCTTCAAAGTCAAGAAATTAAGAAATTTATATTTTTATTTTGACGTTGTTTGAATATATTTGTACATTTTTAAATTTTGTGATCTGCAATACAAGAATTCCAAAAATAAATGCAACCTCTGTTTTAAATCACTATAAAATTACGAATAAGAAAGTTATCCATATTTTAAATGTGGTACAACTCTTTTTAAGGGACACCTCTCTTGTTTTGTTTAATAAAGTCTTATTCCAAAAGCCTACATTTCAAATTTATTGATCACCCTGTCCACTTGAAAATCAAGTAAGTATGCAGTTACAATGATATGCCATTTTCCAGAAATTTATTTGAATAACTATTACGGGTATTATCTATACTTACTCACGTTATTCTTAAATGAACTACCATATTTTCTTTAATCTTCTTTATTCAGCAATAGTAAAAGAACAAGAAACCATGAAAAGATCGATACTCATAGTCACGATTTTATTCATAAAAACCGTAAATTCTACAATGGAATTTTATACTTTAATTGAAGATATAGTGAACCAATTTGACAAAACAGCAAAGATTACTGAATTTTCTTGTAATTATGAAAGTAAATATTTAACTAATTTAATTAAAAATTCTTTATTTTAATTAATTTTTATATTTTCAAGAATCATTTTATTTATTGAAGTCTCTAAGCAAACAACGACGGTCTGTTCGAATATTAGACATGAATGAACAATTATTCGACAACGAAATTTCAAAAAAGAACCAGATTTTTCTTATGAGTCTTGATTGCAGTGAATCTACAAATATTTTGAAAAAGGTAATTAACATTCTGTCATTGTAAATAAGAACAATAACATACATCAGTTGTGGGAAATGATGTTCTAGACACGTGCGAAAAATATTTCTTACCATACTTGCAATGTAATACTGTATTTCAGGCTAATGAACACAATCGTTTTTCATTTCCACAAAAATGGATATTTCCACATACAAAACCCTTATCGGAAATGAAAGAATATTTTCGTAAATTAGATATTCTGGTTGATAGTGACGTAAATCTACTGGAAATTAACATAAACGGTACAGCTACTCTAAGAAAAATATATAGATTACATTATGATATTCTGGTAGAACCAATCGGATACTGGAATAAAGATGATGGTTTTAAGAATATTGAAATAGAACAAATTACCACCAGAAGACGAAATAATTTGAAAGGACTTATCCTGAATACTTGTATAGTGATTACCAATAATGACACATTGAACCATTTAACTGATAAAAGGTAAATAAAGGATAATTATATTTCATACTTCTGGAAATATGATGGATGAAAATATCCTACCCCAGCTAGCACAAAAACATTCCATCTACGTTAATAGGCTGTAATTTTAGGCACTTTAAGCTGGCATGCAACATACTTTTAATGTAACTCTAATATCCCTGCAACCGCCGCATGTCCGCAACGGCAAGACTTTTATAGCACATCCCACAGAGGTTACAAAGTAAAGTTCGAAAAACATCACACTAGCACTTTTATGGTACTTACAAGAAAAGTTGCTCTGAAACGTTATATAGATGTTATAATGTGAATTAATTCTACAGCATTATACAGTGTGTCCACGGATGGACACTACACTTGTGAAAATATTTATTTTAAATTAAAAAAGTAATTCTTCATAATTTATTTTGCTTGTTAAATAAATACGATTCACATTAGAAATTATGAAAAATAACTTTTTTTTAATTTAAAATAAATATTTTTACAAGTATAATTGACTCCATCCGTTGAGACACTATATTGTTCTTTGTGTAATGTAATACAGAGAGGCTGAAATTGAGGTTTTAGTCAAATTTCAAATAAAACAAAATATTTATTAAAATGTTCTTGAAATTAAGTACCAATATCACAAAAGTAGAGTTAGGTATATCACAAACGCAATTACACATGTTCGATAATAGAAGTACTGAACGATTGGACAAAATTAGCTAAATAGTATAATAAGGTACCAATATGCAAAGGTTAACCAAAAGCTTATGTAATGTATGAGATTATATGAATAACAAGGTACTACAACCATAAATAATTCACTGAGAGCTTAGAGCTTTATTAATATTATTACAACAAATATGACAGCGAAACTGACAGCATTGCCAGTGTTGCAAACGTTGTAAGAATAATACACCACACGCCCGTTCTTAAAAGAGAAATTACATGTCAAATTTTATTGGTGGTTGTACAACACGACTATTTCTGGTCTTAACAAATTTAGTATTTTCTATTTCAATTTTACTGTCAGTGTCATCTTCCTTTTGAAACGGCATATTGTAATGGATAATTTTATCTGGAGAATTGGATGTTGAAGGCCTCAGTTTTTAAAAAATAATCATTTGACACTGATTTTTCTATAATAGTAGCAGGGGTCCAATTTTTGAGCAGGTGTAAATTCTATTTTGTGGCCATCTTGTAGGACTACGGACCCTAATCCATATGGTGAAGCATCAGTTGTTAGAATAGTTGGTTTGGAATTATATGATAAAACCAGAGCTGTAAAAACCAATTTTTTGACGTTATGAAAAATTTTGTTTTCTGTTTTAGTCCAAACCCACTCATTTTTTGAACTTAAAAGCTTACGAAGTACATTTGTTTTATGAGACAAGTTAGGAATAAATTTTGCAAGATATACTATTATTCCAAGAAATCTCTGTAGTTGCTTGACATCTTTAGGAGTGGACATTTCTTTAATAGCCTGTGTTTTGGTTTCACCAACCGATATATCTTGTGAACTGATGTGCCCCAGAAATGTCAGTGAGTTTACACAAATCTTGGATTTTTGATAATACTATTTCTAAATTTGAGCTATGTTCGTCAAGTGATTTCCCAAAGACCAGGATACTGCTGTAAACACAATAATTACTTTTAATTTCTACTCTTTTTTCTTTTCTTATTTTCTTTTTCATTATCTCATTTCTCTTTCTCCTTTTGTTTATCCTTTTCTATTTCCTTTCCTCTTTCCGGAGGCTTAAGAAATTCCATATGGAAATCATAAGTACCTAAACCTACCCCAGCATGTTGTGATTGTACATAATTTAGAACTCACTAAATCTAACGGAATTTGAAGAAAATCTTGTGAAGCATCACGAAGAGTGAAATATTTGGCCCCAGCAAGTTCGCTAAAAAAGTATCTATGGTGGGTATGTAGAATTTTCTCTTTTAATATACGAGTTCAAAGACCGGGGATCTATACTTACACGAATATCAGAATTTGCTTTGGGGACAACTACTATGATTTAACCATATCTTCAAATTTGGTTTTTACTTTATCTTTTAATGCTAATGATATTTTTCTTGTTGCTGAAATGTGAGGGACCGCATTGTTTTTAAGAATTATTTTATAGGTTTTTAAAACTTTTCCAAGGCCCGAAAAAACATTTTGGAACTTTAATAGAAGTCTTTAATCGTGTTAGATTTTAAGTCTATGCTTTTAACACAAAATTGATCAGTTTTAATAATATCTAGACCAAGGATAGAGGTAGGAAAATTGAATTTTTAAAAGAGCACACTAATTTTTCCCAATATGTCAAGTTTGTGGCCAGAGTATGAAGATAACCGGATAAGTTTTACATCATCTGAACAAGTTATTTATAAGGCCAAAATGAGTTAAGAGTCATAGATTTCTGTTTAAACTGTATTTCCAGACTGACTTGTAATTCAATTATTTAGTTGTATCCCCGCGTATGTATTAAAATATTAAAAGAAAGCTTAAAAATATTATTAGTTAGGGTAGCTATATTCTATATAAAATAAAATAAAACATAAATAACTGACATGATGGTAATAAAAAAAAGCAAATTGCCGATCCTTTTCAGTTTTTCAACGAAATCCAGCAAAATGTCAAAATATAAGGTGAAAGAAACATAACCTGACAATTATCCCAACGTTAACACACAATAAACACAAAAAGACAAAATAATTATGGAAAACTACTCTAATTTATCGGCACAAACTATCACGTTAAACTCGATAAACCAAAAAGAAAGACCTAGGCGATAGCAGCGGTGTTTTATATAGTTAAAGAAAAACTGATGCGCGCAAACCGTACTTTGTAAAAATGGAAAAGCGAAACGAGCAGTGGTCGTCGTTTAAGTTGTGTTACGAGGGGTTATGGAGAAGTTGTTAAAAATAAATTTGAAATTAATTTCACGTAACACCGTCTTACTTTTTTGTTTTAAGTAAAACAACCAATGTTTGTATTAAATTTTTTTGAGTTTTACAAATTTTATGCTTGATTATGGATTTCCAATTAAGGTATGCAGATTTTATAAAAAAAACAAAAAACAATTAATATTTTATAGCAAGACACTCGTTGCTATATACTCGACAGCATCATCTGTGATTTCATGCAACTTTTCTTCTGTGTTTGTACTTGAACTGATGGTTAGATTTCCAGATAAATTCAAGCCTGTTGAAAAGAATGGACAGCTTAAATTTGAAATTTTTTTTTTTATAAGATAGACGTACAATGTACCTAGGCTATAGATTCACTTTTTTATAAAATTTCATGAGTTATATATTCTTCTTTAGAAAAGTCTGTAGTATTTACTTTGGCTTTTAAAATTTCTAGATTGTCACTGGGTACAAAGGAAACCTAAAATATAATATTTTTAAAATGTATTTGTAGTTCGGTTAAGTATATTATTACCCAGAAGTTAGTTTTGTGTATCTTTTTAATAAGTATTTGGTGTAAAATGTAGCTGGATATTCGATTAATTGTTTTTTCTCGTTTAAAACGATTTATCTGTCATTCTCTGTTGTAGTTGAACAATTTTGTATTGGATACCTAATGAATAAAATATGAAATTTACACGTCATTGTAATCTGAAACAAAGACAATGGTTTAGAAAATACTTTTCTATATTATAGAGGACCCTTCCCAAATCTACTCAAATGTATAAATAAATAAATTATAAAATAAATTCCCCAAGTTGAAAGACAACCAACAAAAACACGACTAATGACAAGAAAAAGTGACAAGTGACAATTGACATAAATACAAACGATTCAGATTGTGATGTTCAAAGTACTTCTCGTGGATATTCTTTTGAGCAAATTACCTTATTACGTTAACATAACAGGTAGGTTTAATATACAGGGTGTCCTTTAAAATGTGTCGCAAAATTCTCAGGCAGATTCCTTAACCAAAAAATGGAAAAAAAGTTCCTATAGACCTATGTCCTAAAGTGCCCCCTAAGCGAGCAACAGCCTCTCGAAATCATTTTTTTTATTTTGATTTTTTGAATTTTCTTAAAAATGGAAACAAATAAAAGAACCAAATTTTGGCTGTTAAATATGATCAATAATAGTGACCTTTTGACACCTTCAAAAAGAAATTATTTCGTCAGGGGTGTACTTGGAAATTTTTTGAAAATTTTGATTATTCATAACTTTTTTGTGTTTTTGGTAATGACTTATCCATATTTTTTTTACATTCTACATTGAAAACTACGTCAAAAAGGAATACTTGTTTGATCTCGATTGGAGCAGCCGTTTCCGAGAAAACATCATCCAAAGATATTCGTGCAGTTTAGGTTAATTTTCAATTTTGGCTGTTGTAGCCAAAAAGTTGGAAATCGAGGAACACGGCTTACATGTCCCTGTCCTTACTTTTGAAGGTCTATTCAGTGGCAAAAAATATTAGTTGATACAGGGTGATCAAAAATCGGATGTGATTTTGGATTTTTGATCACCCTGTATCAAATAATATGTATTTTATGTCACTGAATAGACCTTAAAAAGTTAGGATAGGGACTGTAAGCCGTTTTCCTCGATTTCCAACTGTTTGGCTACAACAGCCACCTGAATTTGAAAAAATGTGATTTTTGAGTAGCTGTAGATCCTTTACTATTCATATTAGATAACAAGTGTGATATATCATTGAAATCAGATTATCGAGCAGATTCTAAAAATATAAAAATATACAGGGTGTTCCATTTAAAAAACATAACTTTGATTTGGCACGGCCTTATGAAACACCCTGTCACATCGTAACTAATTTTAAAATGTGAAGCTTAAAGCTGCCTACTTTTATTATAACAGATCTACAGAGCTTCCTCACACTAATCAATCACCCTGTATACTATTTTTAGCTCTCTAAATAAAATTTAAAAATTTAGTTCCCATTTATTTATTATGAAGACCATAAGGTGTGTATTTAGCTGTTTAGAATAAAAAAGTAAAAATATGTATTTTTTTGGTGTTTTTGTGTTTCATGGATAATTTTTTTCGCTCACTGATAAAAATGTTTCTTCAGTTAAACATTATTTCTAAAAGTGTTCTGGTGCGATTCGTTGTATTGTTATTATTTTGTTTAAAATGGCTCACAATAACTACAATAATGATTACGCATTCGGCGAAATGACGAACATGCACTTATGTTTTGGACTCGCTTCTGGAAATGCCAATGAAGCTCGCAGACTTTATCAGGAGCGCTTTCCAAATAGGCATCTTCCATGCGCTAAGACGTGTTCTAGAATTGACGATAGACTTCGGGAAACTGGTACATTTAAGAAAAACTCTAGTAACAGTGGAAGACAAAATTATGTGAGAACTCCTGCTTTGGAAGAAGCAATTTTGGATAGGGTAGCTGAAACCCCATCGACAAGTACCAGAAAAATAGCAAATGGTAAGTAATTACTTATTTATTATTTTAGCTACCCCGTACCTTATCGTATAAAACTAGTTTTTTTACTTGTTATTGCTTCTCTTACATTTCACGACTTTTCGTATCGAAAAGAGTTGCGTTATGCAGAAAAAATCTGATTTCCCAAATCAATGGATTCTCTTTCTTAACTATTCACTACACAGATTCTCTCATTTAATTTCAGAAGTGGGAGTCGGACGTAACACGGTATGGAAAGTTTTGCGTGAACAACAATTGTACCCTTACCACATTCAAAAAGTTCAGGCACTTAAAGCTACTGATTATGAGCCGCGAGTTATCTTTTCTGAATGGTTTCTTGGAAGATGTAATCAAGATGCAATGTTTCTTAATAAAGTGCTATTTACCGATGAAGCTGGTTTCACTAGAGATGGTATAATAAATTTTCGAAATATGCATGAATGGGCTGAAGATAACCCTCACGCGGTTGTTGAACGTCACCACCAGGATAAATTTTCAATAAACGTCTGGGCTGGAGTTATTGATAATTACCTTATTGGACCATTTGTTTTGCCGAATAGGTTAAATGGAGCAGCATACAGGCTTTTTTTGGAAAATAACTTACATGAGCTTCTTGATAATATTCCGATTCAAATCAGACATAACATGTGGTTTATGCATGATGGAGCTCCACCACATTACAGCCTTGAAGCTAGACAGCACCTTAACGAAAGATTTGAGGGTAGAGTAATTGGCAGAGGTTGTCCTGTTAACTGGCCACCTCGTTCACCAGATCTAAATCCAATGGATTTTTTTGTTTGGGGTTATTTAAAATCATTGGTTTATTCCAGTCCTGTTGAAACAGTTGAAGAATTGGAAGAACGAGTTTTTCATCATTGCGAAGTTCTTAGGAATAATCCTGAAGTATTTTTTCGTGTAAGACAGTCTATGATGCGACGGTTGCGCTTGTGTGTGGAAACCAATGGTCGCCACATTGAGCATCTGCTTTAATTTTTTTTGATTTGTTTTTTTAGAATAAATATTTTTTTAAACCGTTTCTTATTATTAAATAAAAATAGTCCCACCACGACATTTGAACTACAATTATTTAGAGAGAGCTAAAAAAGTTATTTTTATTTACGAGATTCACCGAGGTAATTTAGGAAAATTGAAAATTAAGCTAAAGTGGACGAATATCTTTGGATGATGTTTTCTCGGAAACGGCTGCTCCAATCGAGATCAAACAAGTATTCCTTTTTGACGTAGTTTTCAATGTAGAATGTAAAAAAAAATATGGATAAGTCATTACCAAAAACACAAAAAAGTTATGAATAATCAAAATTTTCAAAAAATTCCCAAGTACACCCCTGACGAAATAATTTCTTTTTGAAGGTGTCAAAAGGTCACTATTATTGATCATATTTAACAGCCAAAATTTGGTTCTTTTATTTGTTTCCATTTTTAAGAAAATTCAAAAAATCAAAATAAAAAAAATGATTTCGAGAGGCTGTTGCTCGCTTAGGGGGCACTTTAGGACATAGGTCTATAGGAACTTTTTTTCCATTTTTTGGTTAAGGAATCTGCCTGAGAATTTTGGGACACATTTTAAAGGACACCCTGTATAAGTAACAAATAAAAATTTTGCGAGGTTTTGATTTTCCTCAACAACTTTTCATGAACGTTGTATGGTACGTTCCCTTAAAGCAACATCGCCAAAAGGCTTGGCAACGTTATGTGCTAGCTGGGACATTTCCATTTAAATTTTTTATAGATGACGTCATCACGCTCACATAGACGTCGTCAAAATATTTTGACGAAGCGTGTAAAAATAAGCACTTTTTCGAAAACCAACTACTTCCATTATAATGAATTTATTCCTTTCTTTTGAACCATACTGTATAATATATAGAGTGACTCAATTCAGAAAGTGAGACCTTATTGCTGAGATGCACCTTTGAGATCCATCTTCTTTGTACATATATCACTAAATAACTAATTATAGCAGTCTTTGGCAAAACGTATATCGACAACATTTTACAGAGACAAACACATCGATAGTATAACAAAAGTAAATTACGTTTTGGTCGAACATTTAGCAGACATTGTAAATGCTAAATTGAACTATTCAATCCAATCAACATGGGGATATAAGGTCAAAGGTGACTGGAACGGAATGATCGGTGAACTGATAAGAAAAGAAGCAGATATTGGAGGTACTCTTACTATAAAATCATTATTTTTATGAAGTTTAAAAATATAAAATCAAATTATACTTTTATATTTAAGGTAGTCCCTTATTTTTCACTGAAGATAGAGTCGATGTTATTGAGTACATTGCAATGACCACACCAACAAAATCATATTTTGTTTTTCGAGAACCCAAGTTATCATACGTTACAAACGTTTTTACTTTACCATTTGATAGAGATGTTTGGTTATCCACCATTGCCCTGATGATTATAACAGGATTCTTCTTGTATTATATATTGCACTGGGAAGTTAAAAAAGAAAAATATGTACCTGAAATAGTAAGTATGTTTCAATTTATTTTTCTTGATAAATATGATTACTTCCTGTTAGGGTTCATCAGATAATCTGGCACAGAAAGCTACAATACTTGATGTTGCGCTGATATCTTTCGGAGCACTGTGCCAGCAAGCTTCCCATTCAGTTCCATCTAGTTTACCAGGAAGAATTACAACATTTCTATTATTTATTTCGTTAATGTTCCTTTACACGTCTTACGCAGCCAACATTGTTGCTTTACTGCAATCATCATCATCCAGTATTCAAACTTTAGCAGATTTACTAAATTCGAGGCTTGAAGTCGGCGTCGATGATACTGTTTTTAACAAATATTATTTTCCAGTAAGTAGTTAATGCTTAATGATTGTAACAATTTATTATAATAGTTTCAATTTTAACAGAATTCGAAGGAACCTATTCGACGAGCACTCTATCAACGAAAGGTAGCTCCTCCTGGTAAAAAACCTCATTTTCTACCATTGCTGGAAGGAGTTAAAAGGATAAGAGAAGGGTTATTCGCTTTTCATTTTGAAAGTGGTGTTGGGTACAAAGTAATAGGTAAGTGCCAACTTATTTTAGTTTTCGTTTCGATGCTATCAAATCATATTGGAAGATGTTTAATAGAATATGTAACGATAATTTTTCATCAATCTTTTAGGAGAAATATTTCATGAAGATGAAAAATGCGGATTACAGCGAATTTCGTTTTTGGAAGTAATCGATCCGTGGTTGGCCATTCAAAAACATTCTCCGTATAAAAAGTTATTAAAAATTGGGTAATTACTGAAGTAAATTGAGGTACGACATTACTATTGTTGATTTTTTTCTAGCTTAGAGAAAATTCGTGAATCGGGTATTCAAAACAGAGAAGTCGGATTGATTTATACGAAAAAACCGGAATGTGTTTCGAGAGGATCAAGTTTTATTAGCGTTGGCATTGTGGATTGTTACCCAGCTGCCGTTGTGTTGGTAGTGGGTATTATTGCTTCAATTTTTATTTGGATTATTGAAGTTATTATAAGTGAGGGGTAAGTAAGAACCTTATAGGGTGGGTCGTGTTGTGGGGTGAGGCGGTGAGGCGATTGCTTAAGGGCAGCAACAATCTAAGTTCGGCATTTTGGACAAATATGTATAATAATGTTTTTAAATTATAATTATAAAAACTGAAGAAGTAAATACATATTTAAATCGTTTAAATTTCCTTGTGGATATCAACGACTTTAAAAACATGGACGTATTAGAATTGAATGCTTGCTGCAAAGATTTCCATCTCTCACTAATTAACGAGGAAGCTCTGACATTAATGAGGCTGATTTATTAAAACTTCTAGATGTACGCTCTTTTATAACAATACAGAAAACACCACTGTAAATACTGAGGATATTTTAATTCTTTCGGCGACAATAGCAAGTGAAGAAAGAAGTTTTTTGAAATAAAAACTGCTTTGGACTTCCACACTTAGTCCAAACTTTCTAATTTGGCTATTTTGTCAATTAAGTTAGAATTAGAAGTAAAATTATAGATTTATGGATTTAATTAATGTAAATTCAAAGCCAGTCAAGTAAGATTATAAGATTGTGCTATTTTTAATGTTATTTTGATTTTTGTGTTATTACTTTTAGGTACATAAGTTTAAAATTCATTTAATGTTGATATTTCTGTTACATTCTTGCATACATACATAACATTATTTTATTTGGGGTAAAGTTGAGAAAAAATATTTAGGTAATTGCGATGCAATTTTGTACCTTTTTATTTTTCTCTTTATTTCTCCTTGTCAAAAAAAAATATTTAAAATTTGACTCCCAAGATTGACCCCTAAAAAAGTTAACCATTCTGGCGAGCATTTCCTCCTGCGGCGTACTGTTACAGGGCGCCAAAACTCATTGCTGTCTCACTGGTTTTAAACATACCACACGACCTTGGAACCCTATCAGCAGTTAGAAAGTTTACTGTGAGAGGTTTTCTCAACTGGTTAGAAATACTCTCACTTTTGACGTTTGAACTGGGTAAGCTCGGGCGCCAGTTTGTTTTAGAGTGGTTTGCTCCACTTTACCTATTGGAACTAGTTTCAAGAAGGGCTGCAGGTAGCTGCAGTAAAGGAAGAAAATTCCAGAGGGTCAACAATATTTCAGTAGTTACGTAGTACCTGAAAGAGAGACTTACGACAAGAGAATGAAATGCCAGGATTCAATTTGACACATATATTATTCGGTAGTTACAATCGTTTCGGTTCATATACATTAAAGCTTAATAATTGTTTTTACAAGCCCTCCCCAAGGTACTGGATCTAACCCTAAACAAAATTTAAAAAATCGTAACAGAAGTTAATGGGCAAAATAAAATAAACACTCAATCGGACAAATGAGGGGTTTATGAATAAAATGGTGTCGGGAAAACAGCCGTCAAACCAGCAGTACTACGCGGCGTTGTAGCAAGTCTACGGTCTTCGGCAGGGCGAACTTTTGGAATCTCATGAATTTCTCCTCTAAACGTTTAAAAGCTTTTGACTATTCAGTTATTCCTAAAGCGGGAAATATAGAGACACGGCGGGGAGTGGACAAGAGCGGAAGTGATGTGCAACAAAGAAATTGCAAATCTAGCCACGCCCAAACGGACCATAAGATGAATATCCTGGCGACGCAACCCCTAAGAATGACACTCCAGGCTATGTAACCTCTTATAAACCAGACTCTAGAAGCTAAGCCGAATCAGCCCATTCTACCACGCGAGATAGTCACTATACATCGACTTACAATTCAAGAGTTCAGTCAATTGGTCGGGAATTCGCTAAAAGTCTAACTAACGGTGGGTACAGGGATCAGAATTAAATAAACCAAAAGAACGTAACTTATCTTGGGACTGAACTTTGGAATTTGGCCAATTTAAAGATGTATATATTATGAAAGAAGGACTCGAGGTTTGGATAAATTCCTCGTGACAATAGGTCAGCAAAATTTTTAGAAACTATTTCCTACAAACGTTATGTTTGAATATGCCCATAAAGTGCTATTAAAAGGTCCATCAAGTGAAACAATGGCATCTTTTGATAGTAGTTACAGAATAAGTGCTCCGCAGAGTTCTAGACGAGAGATACTAGTTTTCTTTACACATAGTTCATTTACCGCGAGAGCACTATTCAAAGCAATACTTTGCAGATTCATTAACATCGGAAAAACCATGTATTTCAACATTTTCTGCATTTTTGATAATAACGTGCCCAGAAATCCATAGAGTAAATATCTAGAAGAACAGATTGATCCCACTTTAATTTTTCTAACCATAGTCGTTGTATCACCATTTTAAACACACAAGCACTCAAAAGTTTCAATGGATCGAATAATATTTGAGCTATACTTTTAAGAAAAGATTGTCTGGTTACTGTTCCGGAAAGATATTTTTACGATCGGTCGATATGAAATAATGATTCTAGCAATCTAAGTCTTCCTTGGATAGAACCTGACTTGTACGACAGTCTTCCAGTTTCCAAAACCTTAAGAAATCAGGATTGACATTTTGAGAAAGACGACAAATTAAATTCTGGGAAGTTAATTTGGCCAAAGGACCCGAGATGATCCAGTCGTGTTTTTTTAAGAACTAAATTCTGTGGATCTAATTTTGTTTGTCCTACACATAAAAAGATCACATGCAGGATAGATGGAACATAAAAATTAGGATCAGATGAACGAATCTTTGAAGGCATGCACAAAGAAGAAACATCAATTGGTGAACCTAAAACCTGGACAGGGATTCTTATGTGCGAAATCAACACGTTATGTGTTGAATAGAGAGGGAAATTACATAAGAATCGCATTCTGTAGAACAAAAATAGGCATCTCAACATGTGCCATATTGAAAGAATCCCACTGCTGGTCACATATCGTCGCCCTGGTCGCATCTGGTAGGTGTTGCTTCAGGATCGTCTGAAGGTAGATATGCCGATCCGAGTATTACCTCCTTCGATCCATTTCCTGCATCGATCTTGATTCTGACTGCTGTCAAATCTCTGGAACAGAAATTAGTTAACGGCAGTATTTTTATGCCTTTTTTGGCAATTATGCAGGTTCGAGGGGTGTCTGTGGATCTGTCATATATTAACTCTCCACCCAGCCCTCCTAAACCTCTTATTGTACCGTGTCTAATCCACGGTTCTTGTACCAGGGCCACTTCAAACCTCCCCATCGCCACTGTAAGTACCGCCGAAGCAGCTTTACAGTGCTGGAGGTTGATCTGGATTATCCTGATCCTCGCCAGGCCGCCTTAGGACCCTGAAGGTCACCCTTCCTAGCTTATAATAGGCCCGGAATTGTGACCTCTCGAGGGCCCTGTACGACGCTTCGTCAATTGAAAAGGCTAGGAGTTGCCCTCCCTTTTCAATTTTTCTGCTCATTAAAAGCCAGTCCGGCGTCTTCAGTTCCGTATTCTGAAGCTGAAGAAGTCCCCTGACTTTTTCAACCTCGGACTCGTCCGGGATGAAGACCAGAACCCTGGGTCTTCTCGGGAGGTCCTTAGATTCAACCACGGTCAAATCCGCACCCTCCCAAAGGTTTCCCAGAGTGCCGACCGTCCTCCTTAACCAGTCCGCGGTCTGCTGGTTAGCGCAGGTCATCCAAATGACCCCTGCGCTAAACGATGTTTTGTGGAACTGCGGTGCTCCTCCACTGCCTGAAGGGGTAGCGTAGAGCCTTTCCACAAGAGTTTCTTGTACCAAGTCTCCTTGTTCTTGGTCTAGAGTTGTATCTGGATGCCTTCTCTGGATGACAGCCAGTCGGATACCCCTCAAAGTGTCGCTGTACGAGCCAGCCGATGCCGTAGCATTTCTGGCCCGCTTAGTTCCACTTCGAGTGGGGGGAGTCTGCGACTCAGATCGGGGCCTTTTATCCCATTTCTTCGTTTGGTCCTCCCTCCGTTGGGTTCGTTTTTGGGCTGCATCCTTGTGGGGATTTTCCTCCGTCCACGTTCCTGCAGCCATTTTTCTATCCTTCAGAAGCTTCTTTCTCTCCGCTCCTGAAGGTTTTTTCGGTCTATCAGCAGGCTTAACCTCTGCTTTTTTGACCTTTTCTTTTGTTTGGGAGCAGTTGTTTGTTTTCACAGATCCTCCTCCCGCTAAGGGGTTAGCGTCCTCTGCTTTCGCAGTTCCTCCTTCCCTTGAGTTGTCGGAGTCCACAGCTAACGCAATCTCTGTGACAGTCATGTTCAAGGAGCCTGAGTCGTCTGTATCCGACTCTTCTCCTTGGGTGTCCATTTTTGTCAAATTATTTTCACTCATATTTGTTCCCACGAGTATGGGGGAAGGGGTTAGTCCAACTCTGCAGTGCCCCCCGTACAGAGTCAAGGCTAGATACTTGGGGGTTTCGCCCGGTTTCCCCAACGGAACGTTCGCAACCGCATATTAAGCCCTGCGGCCATTCATTCTTAGGCACGTTACCTTACACCGTGGCGTTGGGCTTTGATGGAGTGCCATTTGGTTAGTCAATAGTGGTACTTCTTGAAGCATCGCTATTGGCCTTATCCAGTGGTGCCACGAGGAGGCAGGCACTCGATGGTTGCATTTCTCCATCGTCCCGTAGAAAAGTTACCTACCCACAAAGCAGGCGTATTAAGCGAGTGTGCAAGCAAGCAATCTAAACTACAAAGCAATGGCTAAGCTACAACCAACCCCACCAAGATAGCGGTTATCGATGAGCACGATATTCAATCCTAAATATATTGATAAAAAAGACGAATACTTGTTTAAAAATTTAAGTTCATTCCTAAATTTGTTTTAAAAAATAAGTCGTTCTTATGGTCATTTTATAAGTAAATAGATTAGTTACTTGTTCAACTATTGGTTTTTAAAGTTCTTAAAGAAATGTTACAAAGTTAATTTATTTTTCATAATGAATATGTTTTTCTTCATATTTTTGTAATAAATAAACTGACTAGCGATTTTTTTTACTTATTATATATCATAACCTAATTATATCATAAAGTCCGTGGTTCCTGGCTGTCACGTCCATGGTCCAATCTAATAAACTTTCCTAAGTTTTAAC